GATACGCCCTCAAAACATTTATTTTTATTACAAATAAGTTGTTAAAATTTTACATAAGAGAAAGCACACTTTTTTTTTTTTCTTTTTGAATCCTACAAATCAATATACATTATTCTATGAAGAACAAACCCCAAAAAAATAAAATCTAAAAAGAAAAAAATACAGGGCGAAAAATTATAGACACCATCTCTGTCCTAGTCCATCTACGAACACTATTATTATATCATTAATAGGTGGGTTACAACTTACAGGTTACAACATTTGATGAGAAGTAACAACCAAAAATATTATTATAACTCAATTAATTAATTCCCTTTGGCTAAGAACACTATTATTCAATTAAAACACGTAAATGTGCATTATTATTTCAATTCAGACAACGCAACAGTATCTCTGTCCCTCCCTCAAAAAAGTTGAAAGTCAACAACTTCACCAATGCTGTTTTTAAAAAAAAAATAATAATAAAAAAGAAACTCTGTAGTTTATACTCTTCCCTCCCAACCAAAATAAAATGGAAATCAACAAACCTCCACCACCACCATCCTGCTGGACCCAACCCTCCAATTCCTCCGGTATGCCTCATCACCGCCGTTCATCGCCTCCGATTCTCACCCCTCCGGTTCTGATCATCCTCTTGCCGATCATAACTTTTCTTTTCCTCCTGTCCGCTGTTCCTCCTTTTCTTTCATTTACCTCTCTCATATTCCGCCCCATTGCGGTGAAGAAAAGCTGGGACTTGCTCAACATATTCCTCGTCTTGTTTGCCATTCTTTGCGGAATCTTCGCCAGAAGAAACGACGACGAATCGGCCAACAACGACGTCGTTCCGACCGCGAGAAGAAGCGGAGGCGTTGAGGAATCGGAGCCGGCAAATCCTCAGCGGTGGTTTGCGTTTTCCGACGATCGGAGGAGCGAGAAGATATATGATTCCGTCGATCGGACGGCTGAGAGCGGCAGTCTCCGGCGACTGAGGAGGAGCAGCAGCTCGTATCCGGATCTGAGGCAAGAATCGCTATGGGAGACGGGAGATGATCCGCGGTTTCAGTTTAGATTCTTCGACGATTTTGAAATCAACAAGTACCGCGTGACGGCGCCGTTTGATCCCTCGCGCGAGATCAGAGGTCGTCGGAGAGAAGCCGATGATGGAGAAGCTAAGGAGATTCTGGTCGATACGTTTGTAGTTCGCCCAACGACGCCGCCGAAGTCCCCGTCACCATCGCCGTCGCCGGCTACTCCTTCTCCACCGCCTCCGCCGCCGCCTGTGGAGCGTCATAAACCGAGGAGAACGTACCGAGCTGTTGGCGAGCGGAAAGAGAAGGCGGAGAAGAAGCAAGATGATCACAATGACGCTGATCAGTTCGCGAAAGTACGACCTCCGCCACCGACGCCCCCGCCTCCTCCGCCGCGACCGCCTCCATCACCGGCGAGGGTTCGGCCGGAGCAGAGGCACGTGAAGCTCGAGCGGAGAAAGAGCAACGTAAAGAAAGAGATCGCCATGGCGTTCACCTCACTGTATAATCAGAGAAAGAGGAAGAAGAAGCAGAAGATCGCGAGCAGCGGAAGTCACGCTCACGATTCCGCCACCAGCTCTCCGCCTGAAAAAACTAGGTTTCCACCACCTTCACCGCCTCCGCCGCCGCCGCCATTACCTCCGCCGCCTTCTTCCGTCTTCCACAATTTGTTCAAGAAAGGAATCAAAAGCAAACGGATTCACACCATTCCTCCGCCACCTCCTCCGCCGCCTCCGCCGTTCTCATCGTCACCGCCACCGTCATCTCGACCGTCTAAGCACAAGAACCGATCAGTTCCTCCTCCAGCTCCTCCAACACCTCCGCCAATCTCATCGTCGTTGCGGCATTCTAAGCACAAGAACCGATCAACGCCTCCGCCGGAGCCGCCAACTCCTCCACCGCCTCCGGCAACAGATCGTTCCCGCTTCGGCAGACGACCGCCGTTGCCGGCGAGGTCCGTAAACTACTACGGGGAGAATGTGAATAGCGGCAGGCCGAGGCCCCCAATAGCGGCAGCCAGAGTCCGCTAATCCCGATGCCGCCGCCTCCTCCGCCGTTCAAAGTGTCGGAGTTCAATTTCGTCGTTCGCGGGGACTATGTTCGGATACGGAGCTCTCAAAGCTCTCGGTGCAGCTCTCCTGAGCTGGACGATGTTGATGCCTCGTCAACCAAGGTAGAACCGGAGATAGTCAACGTGATGGACGGTGGAGATGGGGTAATGGCTGGGTCCGTGTCTTGTCCCAGCCCAGATGTTAATATCAAGGCCGACACCTTCATCGCCAGGCTGTATGATGAGTGGAGGCTCGAGAAGATCAACTCACTGAGGGAGAAACGGAAGGTGTGACCTTTAGGCCCAGATTACAACAACATTGGGCTCCGGCCCAATTTTGCCTTTATCTCAAGGCAAATGACAGAGTTCTATAAAAACTAATATTGATCAGTATAACAGACGTTGGATTCAGTAGAAAAATAATACATTGATAAGAGGAATTAGTGCGAAGAATGGAGCTCTAATTGTGGGTTTTTTTTATGGTCATCTTTTGGGGAACTTTCTTGCACTAAAACGATGTGAGTTTGTATTTTGGATTTGCTGTGTCGTTTGAAGGTTTGAGCGTGTATAGATAGGTACGTCTTATATGAGGGTAAATACTGAATAGGCCCTAACTCTGTTTTTTTTTTTTTTTTTTTTTTTTTTTTAAACGTATTAAAGCTTGTTGGTATAGAAAATGTGAGTTTTGATTTTGGTTTGAATTGGTTGGTAGTGTATAGGTCTGGTTTTTACAATGGTGGTCTTGGGCTCCAATTGGTGTTTTCTTATCGACCGCCTCTTTAGAGCCTCTCCATTGCAAATATGTGTTTGAAATTAATGTTTTGACTTTTTATTTATTTATTTTTTATTACGAGACTCCGAGAGGATAAATATGAAAAGAGTCCGTATGGAGCAATCGGCATAAGTAATAATTTTTATCGATCTTTTTGTCGGTCTTAAAATTGAGTTTAAGATGAAAAGAAGAATGAAGAGACATTAGAGATCTTTTTAATCAACATTTGTTGTCTCATTTTTTTTTTCTCGTTAGTTAGCTGTTTTTTCAATTAAATTATGATATTTTGTGATTTATTTAAATATTTTCAGTATTTAGTCTATATTTATGTGGCTAAATGATAAATTTAAATGACATGTTAAATAAATAGTGCACAGTGAGCCACTGAGACAGAAAGAGAAGGACAATAAATTTAGATTCAGATTTTTTATATCTATTTATAGGGAGAAAAAAGGATAATTTGGGCCAATACTCGTCTAACATGTTACCATGGCTACGACCATTGACGATAGTTATAGCTATTAAAAATAACTTTTACTTATAGAAAAAAAGATTTAAATAACAACTTAAATAGCTTATGTGTCAATCAGTTTCTGAACCAATCATTCACTAAACACCCGTTTGGTTCTCTAGTTCTTACTTTATTGATTTGAATTTTTTTACTTAAACTGAAAAATTCATACTGTATAATTTAAATTATAATATGAATTGATATTTAAATGTGCAGTTTAAATTTTAATTTGAATAAAAAATAAATTTTAAATTTGTATTTAATATTTACAAAAAGTAAAGAAAGTAAACACTTTTTACTATTTAAAAATGATCTGAATGATTAAAATTTAGAGGAAGCTAAATTGTAAGTTAAAACATAATTTAAATTGCATACTTATCAAGCATGAGTTTAAACTGTGTGCACTATTTAAACTGAGTATAAGAGAAATAAATTTGTGAAACAAATGAGGGCTAAAAAGAGTTATTAGAGATGTTCTAACCGTGAGAATGATTGACCTCAATATACGATTTTTAAATTATGCAGTGCTATTTTAGAAAAAAGAAAAAGAAAAACAAACAGATTGTGTTTATAAAATAAGTGTAACAGTATTATTAAAAAAAATCTATCATTATATCTAACCCCATGCTATATAAGGTTTTAAATTCTACTACCACAATTAATGATCCTATTGAATTTATGGGTGGTTGCACTCCACTATAGAATCACACACTCATTATAGTCTTTTTCTTACAATATAAGACACTCAAATGTATAACATACGTAACATGATATTTATTCAAAATCAACCCACCTATTATACAGGTTCGTATTAAAGAGTTCAAGACCTTAGCACTACTTTTCCCAATTTCATGCAACAATTACTTTTCTTAGTCGCTGCGGCTGCTATAAAATTTAATTTAATTTAATTTATTTATTTACTCTGAAGATGAAAGTTTTATTTTATTTTATCTTAAGTATAATACTCAAAGCACCCCTAATGTTTTATTAAAATATTACTTTCACCTCTTTTATTATGTAAATATCTAAAACACTCTTTGTGTCTATAACAGACCCAAAACACGTCTTTAAGCAATTAAAATTTTAAAATATAGGGAAACGCTAGAAAATTTTATGCTGCATTCGTAAATGGTTGTAATTTACATTCAAATTACAATTAACTACAGTGATATAGAGTTAAGATTTGTTATCTCATTTTTCACGTCTCAGTTGTTATTCTTCTATTACTTATTTATTATATCATCTAAATTTTAAGAATCTAATCACATAAATAGAAATAAAATATTAAAAAATATATAAACAAATTATAAGAGGTTAAAATTTAGTTAAAGAGACGGCCATGACAAAAAAACGAGATGACAAATCTTAAGCCATGTTCATTTTATCGATTCGAGTTTAGAATTCAAATTTTATTACAGTAAAAAGTTTTAAAAAATAATCACATCTAACTTTTTTACTATAATAAAAAATTCTTAAATAAAATTATATCTCAACTAAAATTAAAAATTTAAATCAACGAATTAAACGAGCCGAGTATAATATATACGGCTAGATAGTAGTGATGGGATTGTTGTTTAAAAGGCGGATTAGGCGGTTTTAGGCCGAGTTTGGATCTCGTTAGAGCCCAATCCCGAACTCCTCGACCAAAAACCCAAATAAAACCCTCAAAAAACGACAGCGAGAGAGTGCTAAAGCAAAAACAAAGGCAGCGACTCCAATGAAACTCGCGGGGCTGAAATCGATTGAGAACGCCCACGACGAGTCCGTCTGGGCGGCGACGTGGGTCCCGGCGACGGAGGCCCGATCGGCCCTCTTACTGACGGGATCCCTCGACGAGACCGTCAAGATATGGAAGCCCGACGACCTCATCCTCCAGCGCACCAACTCCGGCCACTGCCTCGGCGTCGTCTCCGTCGCCGCCCACCCCTCCGGCCACTTCGCCGCCTCCGCCTCCCTCGACAGCTTCGTCAGGGTCTTCGACGTCGACACCAACAACACCATCGCCACCCTTGAGGCACCTCCCTCCGAGGTCTGGCAAATGCGCTTCGATCCCAAGGTATTATCTCTTTCCCCGATTTTGCTTCTCAATTTTTTCGAATTAGGTAAATTGTGATGAGAAAGATGCGGTCTTTGATAAATTCGAACTTTTCCGTGTAAAGATTGGGGCTCAATTTGTTTGATTTGGTAAAAGTTGTTGTTGTTAACTCTGACTTATTTTGACTATAATGTATGCGGTACTTTTATATGACAGTTTGGTGTCTATAAATAGATTCTGATTTTGGGTTGTGTTGAATATTGTATAATCTGTAAATTATCATTTAAAATCTCATAATGCGGGTGGGTGTCCAAGTTCACCATACTTGTGTATATAGCTAACAATTTCTGCTAATTCTTGGACTTGTTGGTTAGTTTATTGTACGACTCACACAGATGTAGAAGTATTTCCTTGATCTATATTAGTAAACGACAGAACATTGAAAATTTGTATTACGAATGGATTCAGCTCTTTCTAATTGAATTGAAGCTTCCAGTGCAAGATAAAACAAATATAAACTTGTTACTTGAGTATAACAGTCTGCACCAGTTCAAAATCATATAAATGATATCTGTCCTACCAGGGTACTATCCTAGCGGTTGCCGGCGGGGGTAGTGCATCAGTCAAGCTTTGGGATACTGCCACATGGAACTTGGTTGCCACCCTGTCGATTCCTCGTCCGGAAGCGCCGAAGCCCTCTGATAAGAACAGCAGCAAGAAGTTTGTTCTGTCGGTTGCTTGGAGTCCTGATGGGAAAAGACTTGCTTGTGGCTCAATGGACGGAACCATTTCAGTCTTTGATGTAGGCCGTGGCAAGTTTCTTCACCACTTAGAAGGGCATTTCATGCCTGTGCGGACACTCGCGTACTCTCCTACTGATCCACGGCTACTCTTTTCGGCCTCAGACGACGCCCATGTTTACATGTACGATGCTGAGGGGAAAACACTTATTGGGGCCATGTCAGGCCACGCTAGCTGGGTGCTGAGCTTGGATGTTAGCCCTGATGGGGCTGCTATTGCGACAGGCTCAAGTGACAGAACAGTGCGGCTTTGGGATATCGGCATGAGGGCTGCCGTGCAAACAATGAGCAACCACACCGACCAAGTTTGGGGAGTGGCGTTTGGTCCAGCAGGAGGACCTGGTCGACTAGCTAGTGTGTCGGATGACAAGGGCATATCCCTCTACGACTACTCTTAAATTCTTAATGAAAGTGGCTCCATGAAACTGACCACCCCGGAAGATCTGTGATTCTTGAGTTGCTGCTGCTTCTGGTGTTGCTAAATTATTTCTCAAAGAAAATGTTGCCACATATTTCTTTCGTCTTCTGATATTACTACGTTCTTGTAATTTATTTTTAGATCAGAAGTTACCTGGAACGCATCCTAGAGTAATCCTTTTTCATTGAATGAAAGTGAAATTTGCAAATCACCCAGCTAATGTTTATCGTTTTTTAACAGATAATTGCGCTGATATCAAAATGTGGGTTGCACTTTCAATTTTAAATAGACCAACCAAAATCTATACTCAGTTATTTAAGCCCCCAGTTTTGATTTGTTTTTTTTTTTTTTCCTCACCGCAGAATTGCACCAACATATTTGTATTTTTGCACAAGTGGAATCATAGTTTCATTTAACAAAGCAATGAATGGTTTTACAAGTTACAAAAGGGCTAGGCACGAATTCATATAGGTCTTAAAGTAACTTTTGCAAGTAAATTCAAATGGGTTACTAAATTCAAATGGGAAGGTCAAGATAACTGTAGAATTCCCCTACACATCGGATTGCCATGAAGAAAACGACATTATATTCATCATAACTCGTACATGGACGCGTGAATTACAATCATGCTAGAACTCGGTATGGCCCTACATCGATTAAATTAGGTGGCAAAAAAAAAGATGGGATTGATCCTATGGTCCCGGTTGAGGAAGCTGCTCCAGTTGGTCCCACAAATAAAAAACATGGGACCCATGATATGGAAGGAACTGGCATTGATGCATATATGCTGAACATGCCACCTCATATATAGACATAATTGGCTAATCGTTCATCACTGGTTCCACCAGCTTTCACTTTAAGTTACGGTAATGGAGCGCACGATTCAGATACTCATAGGAATTAGTCCACAAAAATCTTGGTGTTTGCTCAATTTGATTCACCGAAAGTGTAAGCTCAATTTGTGCTTTCTTATACACTTAAATTAAGCCTTAGGTGCATCTCCTACTATTGAGACCCATGAAGCCAATAGGACTCCATTATTTCACTTACAAATTTATTTCTTTTTAAGGCTGCTTGCATGCCAAAGTAAAGCTTTGTGAGCCATTATAATCATTATGTGATGGAAAACGATATTCCATTCACGTCAAAAAAGAGAGCAAATTATTATTAATCCACATTGGTCTTGTACTCCATGCATCCTAAAACCACAAAATTCATTTTTCTTAAATCATTCCCACATTCCACCACGACAGAAAAAACTTTTTCTATGAGATGACAAACCACCACTAGAATCTTTAAGCATATTCATGACATGACAACACCATAGGAATTATCTCAATGCAGCCAAACCACCCCATGAATTTGGGAAGTGCCAGTGAAATCTTAAAAGGCCAAGCACCAAGATAATTAGCCAGACAATCTCTTAAAAAGTAGAGACTCATTACCAAATATCACGAAGCAACATGTACAAACAGAAATAACCCTTTTCTCTTCTTCTTTATTCCTTTCATTTTCTGCTAAAGTTGCAATCTTTATTCCACAAGCAAGTACTGTAACCAATTGCAGCAAGTCCAAGTTAGAAAGGATGAAGCTAGTCTCTTCTCTACCAAATAAACTTAAAAAAGAAAAAACTTATCTGTTTCATGACCATCCTTACATATATTTCTACTCACCAAAATAAACAAAATGATCTTCACCATGAAACAAAGCCAACTTAAGTGGTTACTGAAACAGAGCACAATAAATAGCACAAAAATTTGCTACTAAAAACGAAAAAAACTTACACTTCTCTTCACTTATGCTTTGCACTTGGGAGGCTTATTCAAAAAGTCCTTGAGAACATCCATGACGGCCCCGAAATTCGCCCTCACCTCCACTGGCGGATTCGCGAACCGGCATTCCATCTCCGGGATCACCTTTGAGTGGTAATCGATCTTCGACTGCGTAAACTTCAACCCATGAGCCGTGCTGACCACCACCGTCCGATCACCCGGCGCGATAACCCCGCTCTTCCTAAGCTTAATCAGCGCCGTCAATGCGACTCCGGTGTGCGGGCAAATGAACATCCCCGTCGAGTCAGCTTGGGCCATTGCATCCATCAATTCCTCCTCGGTTGCCTCCTCAACAATGCCATCACAGTTCTTGAGAGCGTACACGGCTCTGTCGATCGAAACCGGGTCTCCAATCTGTATCGCCGACGCAAAAGTCGAATTCGCCTTCACCGGATTGAATTCCTTCCAACCGGACTTGTAATGCAGATAAAGCGGATTCGCATTCGCCGCCTGAGCGCAAACCAGCCTGGGAATCTTGTCAACAAGGCCTAATTCTTTGCACATTTTGAATCCCTTGTAAAACGCATAAATGTTGCCGAGATTACCGCCAGGGACGATCACCCAATCGGGGACTTCCCAGTCGAATTGCTGCAGAATTTCAATCGCCGCCGTCTTCTGCCCTTCCAGCCTCAAGCTGTTGAGCGAATTCGCCAGGTAAATCGGAAGTTCAGCCGTGATTTCCCTGATCAGCTTCATACAGCCGTCGAAATCGGTGTCGATGCTGAGGACGAAGGCCCCGTTGGCGATTGGCTGGACCAATTGCGCCATCGAAATCTTGTTCGCGGGGAGAAAAACGATGGAAGGGATCCCGGCGGAGGCGCAGTAGGCCGAGAGAGCGGCGGAGGTGTCTCCGGTCGAGGCGCAGCCGACTCCGACGACGGGGCGCTTCAATTTGCGGAGGCGATTGACTTGGCTGACGAGGACGGTCATTCCCAGATCCTTGAAGCTCCCAGTATGGCTGATCCCACAGTGCTTGACCCAGAGATCGCTCATGCCCAGAAACTGTTTGCCGAAACGCTCGGCCCAGAAGAGATTCGAATTCCCTTCGAAGGCGCTGATGATATCGTCGTCGTCGATCTCGGGAAGGACCCACTCCTTCTTGCTCCAGACGCCAGAGCCGTACGGCCACGTTGTCCGCCCCACGCGCGAATCGAAGAGGCGTCGCCAGTACGCGCCGTCGAACTTCGCCAGCGCCTCCATGTCGTGCTCCACGTCCAGGAGCCCCCCCGAGCGACTGCGGTAAACGATCTCGTCAAGCGAGTACGACTCGGCCGAGTCGAACCCCGCGTTGAAAGGCACGTACTTGGCAGAGAAACCCTTGTCGGAGGGCCGGTGCCGCCGCGCCTCGTCCCTTATGTTCTCTTCCACCGCTCGCCGGAGCTTCGGCGCCGCCGGAGGAGGAGAGTTGTTGTTGCTGGCGGTGGAAGTGCAGGTGATGATGGGGGAAGGGCGGTGTTTGGCTACGGGGTTACGGTAGAAGGGACTGGGACTGGGATTGGGTTTGGGTTTGGGGTCGATGAAGGAGGAGAGAGAGGCGTGGAAGAGAGAAGAAGAGGAAGCCATTGTTGAAGCTTTGAGAAAGAGAGAAAAGGGCTTTTGGAGGCGGCGTTGATTGTGTTTTGTGTGGATTGTGGTGGTCTACTCTTCTTCTTCTTCTTTTTGCTATTTTTTTTAAGTTTTTTTTTTAACAAAAAGCAGATAGGTGGGACCCTTTTTGTACAACTAGACAACTAGTACAATTGGGTTATATCTACAAGTTCGCACGTTTTCCACGTGCCATGCATAGCATAAACATGAATTTGTGGGCATAAACATGAATTCGTAGAGGTGTTTGAAACTCGTTTTAAAATAATTTTATTTTTATATAAAAATAAAAATAAAAATATTTTTAATTTTAGACATAAATTATTCTTAAAAATATATTTAATAATTTTATTAAGAGATTATTTTTAGTATAAAA